AGGCGCCGAGCCTCTCCTAGCTTTATTAACAGAATACAGAAGTCATTACAACAGATATTAATTAGAAGGTGGTGAGAAGCTTATTTCTATTTCCATTGAAACCCTAAGTGGGTAAAATAGGCTTAGCATACAAAATGGGTAATATTTTACAGAGAGGGGAATCAAAGTAGAGTGAACACGGAGGATTTAGTCCACTCAGCCTCTCCTTTTGAGAACCGTTCCCTTCTCCACACCGTCATCTACATGGTTCCATCAGGAACTATCCCAGTGTTTGACTTTGTCCACCATTCACTTGACTAGTGGAGGGTCAGGAATCTGATCCAAGGTGATTTAGTCACAGTTCTGCCCCGGAAAATTTTATAATTAGGATTTAGAAAAAGCGGCCAGGATGTTTCCGGACACCTAAGGTATAAGATATAGAAATTGAGAGCTTTCAGTTAAAATATTTGCTGCCAGGTGAACCAAAGAAGCAGAAGAATTCTGCAACAAAAACTCACATGGTTATACAAGCAGATGCAGAGAAAAGCAATTATCAGAGAAGGAGCTAGTCTCAGGGGCAGCATAATCCATTGTCCTAAGTCCAGTCTCATCTCGCTCCTAGGAAATCTCAATACACTCATTAAATTCCCTTTTTGGCTCAAGCTATTTTGAGTTGGCCTTTCTATTGCAATAACAAAAATCAGTATGTAAAATGCTTGGTTTATTTGCTGCTTTATATGAATTAGGCAGTATGCTAATGCTTTATATATTTTATCTCACTAAATCTTCCCAGCAATCTATGAGGTTGGTAATGTTGTTTTGCATATGAGGAAACTTTAGAGATCCAACTAATGTATTGTAGACAACTCTACCTAAATGTTCTATAGGTGTCTAAAACAAAACCAGTTCTCCATCTATATAATGGAAAAGGCTCTTCTCATTGCTGGAGATGCTCTTTTCCCTAAACACATCTGGCCACTCCTTCTCACCATGACATGTTAGCTTAAATGTCCTCAGAGAAGACTGTCCTGCCTACCTAGTCTAAAGTAGGTTCCCTGATAGTACCTGATGATTTTCCTCACCAGCAGCTGTAGTTACATATTTAATATTTTTCACTCTTTCTCTCATATGCTCCTGTATTAGACTATGAACTTCATGATAGTGGGGTCCATATCAGTGTCTGCCATTAAAGTCCCTGCACCTAGCAAAGGGCACTGGGATAGGTCCTGTTGAGACAAAGACAGATAAGACACAGCCTCTCTCTCTAGTAGGGGCTCATATTATAGCATAAGGCCCAGACACAGGAATAAGGCTAATATGGGGAAAAGTCTTATAGTAGAAAGATGAACAAAGTGCTGCAGTTGCAAAGAAGGTAGTACTTAAGATAGATCCTGGAAGTTGAAATTAGGAGAAAAAAGAAAAGTTGTCAGGATTCAAATTGTCAAATTGTTTATAATGTCTCCATTCTGATACAGCCCTACCTTGTTCCCCGTTCTAATTTCTAAGACTTGGAGCAGAAGTTATAATAAATATGTTCTCAAGTAGTGATGCATGGAGAACATAATTCTCTAGAATTTATGGTCATCCATATCACTTGGCTCATTTCTCTATTACTGTGTAAAGACATTGAGCTTGGCTGCTTGACTCAGCCAAGCCTCTCCAAAAAAGTCCAGGCCTATACTACAAGTCAGGCATTATTTCCCCTTCCATATGTCATTTCTGCTTTCCCTGAAGCTGAGATTAAGGGGACAACAACTTCTGATCCCTTTTGACACTCAATGGATAATGTTCCTCTTTCACACTCTCCCAGATGTTCTCATTCCCTTGAGTGGCTTATGGGCAATTAACCTGAGTGCTAGGACTTCTGTCTCCTGCCTATTTCCTCACCTGCTGATCTCTAACTGGGTGATTCACACCAACACAGGTTGAGGATCATTGCTCTAGTTACTTTCTAGGATAAATCTCTTCTTCCTTCCCTTCTTTCTCCTTTAAAATCTCCCCTACATCTTTGCCATTTGTCAGATACACTTCAAATAAAACCTCCCTTTGGGATTTTCATGTGTATTTGTGTGAAGGATTAAGGTTGATTTAAAGGAAAAAAAAGGGTTTGGGTAAAGCATCACTATTGATAAATATCTAGTGAAAACCTACAAAGGATGAAATAGGAGGAAAGACATAGACATTATGTAACTGTGTACCTTTTTAATCTTAGAATTTAAATATTTAACACTATCATTATTACATTAGTGTCTGTCAATCAGAACGCCTGCCTGCCCCCTCTTGAAAAAACCCAACTCTCCTAAAATGACTCCACTGAAGTTAAACAGATAAAAATAAAAAATGTTGTCTGGTGTCCTGACTTTAAAGAACTATGAAATTAAAAAAGAAAAAAGGAAACAATTTCAAAATGTACGTATTTTCCTTTCAACCCAAAAGCTTGTTTCATTCATAGATTCATCAAATATTTACTGGTACTCACCTGAGAGGCCAGCTTCTTCTTTTTTTTTTTTCAGGATTCTAATCAAGGTGTTTCACCCAGGCCTCTTGCTTTGAGAGTGTGCCTGCAGTTTCTTCATCTTTAAAATGGATACAAACGTTAGAATTATCTCACAGGCTGTCATCAGAATTAAAGATAATGTGTGTACGGGGCTTAAAAATATTTGACGCTACCTCAGTATAATTACTGTTAATTCCCTTCCAGCATCGAAGTTAATGTCAAATAGCTTGAAAGACACTGACATATCAAAGTGAAACTGTATGTGACACTTGAGTGTATCCTGTATTTTTAAAAGGGGAACAGGGAGACAGATAACCAAAGAGTCAGAACCCCCAGCATGGAAAGGGGTAAATCCCATCCTACTACTTTGCATCCTCCAAGGTGACTTGCGAAATGCCTTGTAAGTAGACGGACACCCCCAATTTAAGGTCTCGGTCAGTTTTAAAGGCCGCCAGGGACCTATGTGCCTAGATCTCTGCCAGCTCAAAGCCCCAACCCCAGTTACCTCCCCAAAGCATCTCTTCCAGGGTCACCCAGCCCTTCTGCAGCCCCAGCTCCTAGTCGCCCCAGCGCCGGGTCCTCCGGCCCCCGGCGGCGCCCGCCGAGCCGGGCCGCCCACTGCGCATGCTCCCTGTCGCGGTGGGGCGCGCCGGGCCGGGAGGCGGGCTCCGGGCTCGCGTCCCGCCGGCCAGCGGAGGCCTGGACCTGGGCCTGTCGCCAGCCACGCAGAGGAGGGCGAGTGAGCACCGGGGCGGCGGCGTCCTGGAGACCCCCGAGAGATGGAAGCGGCGGCGCCGGCGGCGGCCG